ACATACTACTGAAGGATGACCTCTCCAACAGAAATGATCCGTTCGAGCAATCTACAATATGGCAGAAAAGGCAAGATAGCGCAAGCTTAAAATTACTATTTTTTATTATTATTAACGGCAAGCTTAACTTCAGCTAAAATACATACGTTCCACTAACAAGTACAAAAAAAAAAGTCAGACAGACTAAACCACTCCAAAACAGTAAAAAAACTCAATAGCCGAATAGACACCTTTGAGCAACAATATTTTGTAAGAACGATTAAGGCTTGCAACCTGCTTCCCAAACGACATTGTGAATATGGAGACTAGCTGTGTCATCCTTTGATCGAACGTGGTTAAAATTGGGCAAAAAGAGAAATGAACAGAGGAGAGACAAGCGCAATTTTCCTCTGTTCCTTTCTATTTGTGCGCAATTTTACCCATGTTCAATCATTGCCAACTCGTCCAACTAACCACTTTACTATCCTTTGATCATTCCATAACTCAGCTGTTAACTTAATTGGGTCACAAACTTGTATAGCTCGTAAGTAGATGTTCTTTGTTGTCTGTTGCCTGCAATGTGTTTTGTATTTTTTTTTAACTTGTACCCTCTTTGTAATGGCCCTCAAGAGAGGGCTAACGGTATTTTCAAATTAATAAATTCATAAATCATAGCAACTGTGTATTGTTGAGTAAACCGATCATATTTATGATACGCAATATCACTATGCGTACAACTATACGTTGTATGAAGTTCCGATGGTAGATAGGAGTCCCGCGGAAAAGTGTAAAAGACAAAATATACATAAAATTAGAGTGGAAGTTTCTTTTTTTTTTTTTTTTAACCGTTGCTGTTTGCCTTGTTTGCATCCACTTTGTGTTTTACTTTTACCTTTTTTTTTCTTTTTTGTTCCATATCAGAATGACACGTTTTGATCGGAACATATATATTGTAAGGGCCAGGCAAGTAGCCAGGATTTTGTTTCGGAGGGGGGGGGGGGGGGGGGGGGGGGGGCGCCGATGACAAAATGCTGTATGAAGGGGAGGGGGGAGAGGAGGTCAGAGCAAAATGGAATATTTCGGGGGGGGGGGGGGGGGGGAGGCCCGGGCCCCATGCCCCCCCGCCTACGTGCCTAGTAACGTCGTAATCATCTGGAACACGCATATTGCAAGCCCCCGAGTCAGAGACGAAGTTCAATCTGCCTAAGTATCCCTACAAACAGATGTGACTGATGTTTTATCACATATGCATGGCGGTTTAGATTTCATTCATAGGCCTTTTCGAACACTGAACTGCATTGTCTGGTGTGTTGAACTGACGCATTCGTTTATTTATTTAATATTGAAGAAATACTGCGCATGGTCTTTCACCATCCAAGCAGGAGATTAACATCAAGTTTCGAACAGTTGATTCAAAACAGTTAATGTTCAAAGTCTGCACGCAGGCAGTCGGAGGGCATTAAATTCTATTCGTCAATCATAAGTAAAAAAAAAAAAAAAAAATACAGCTGTTATTTTTTAGGGGCATACGGTCTAACCTTTTTTTTTTCGAGTACGTCTGTCTTGCTGAGCGTGGAGAGGTGGCAAAACATACAGGTATTTGGCTAAGCCGTATTGAATCATATTTTATTAAAAAAAATTTAACCGTCTTGAGAACAAGGTATAATTCTTTTGTTGAATGCACAGTTCAATGACGCTACCAAAGGTATTCAAACATGTAATCGATCGCATCCAACTCATCAATTACTTCTCAAATACAGACAGCAGACGAACTGATTGCGCAAACGATAGAAAGTCCGTAGGGGCTGCACTCTACGCACGGGATCCAGATGAAAACGAACACTGACGCTTGAACCGAGGAGCATTTGAACCGGCGAGCTCCTGTACGGTGAGAAACCGAGGGAAAGGTGGAAATGAGAGCGAGCGATGCCGCCGGAGCGCCGAGCCCTGATTGGAAGGATAGTGCGTAGACGCAAAGGCTAGCTGCCAAACCACGACTTATTATGAGGATATACTGCGCCTCTGTGAACTTTACCTGGGCCCTGGCTAGACTTCGTGGCATAAGATTTAGGTAAGGTTGGTCAAACAATACTTCATTGATGTTTCTTGAAGCCAGGTTGGTGTTCGTAAGCAATTGTACTGAGAGGCTATAAAAGCATTTTTGACAACATCCTTATTCAACGTAACTCTTTCCGATTGAACGCTTGTAAAGGCTGTCAATATCATCATTGCCCGAGATGCAAAAAAAAAAAAAAAAAAAAACCCCGAACTCCGAGCCGGCTAAACCGAGTGCAGCGTTCAAACTCCGAACTTCGCTTCCGACAGAGCACTAAACGAGTTAGTCAAAAAAGACAGCCAAGAGAACCACTTACCAGGCCACTCTGGTTCCCACACGTAGGGCAAGATCGGGACGGGGGGCCGCCTCAGGAGAAGCTCGTGCAAGACCACGCGGTGTGCTTCCTACACCCACAGACTCCGCCCCACTCGCTCGTACAACCGCATCTTCGCGAGCAGTCCGCCAATCGATGCAGGGCCGTCCGGGCAGGACGTTCCCCGACCGCGCGAGCGAGCAAACGCCCTCGGCACGACGCCCCGCCTTCCTCTATTTAAAGGACCCCCTCGACCGACCGGCCCCGTTCAGTCGGCGGCTGGAGCTCGATCGGTGCGCACGTCCCGTGTCACCATGGTACGCGTCGACGAAGTCGCGACGTCGCTCAAAGTGCACAAGAGTTCCTTCAGCATCAGCAGCCTGATCGCAGCAGATCCTCCGACAGCAGCGGAGGCGAGCGTCAAGCGGGCGTCGGACAGTCCGACTACCAGGAAGTGTCCCGTCGAAGATGTCCCCAAGAAGGACCCCGCCAAGCCCAAGGAGTCGTCGGGAAAGCTGGAGAAGCCGCCGTTCAGCTACAACGCCCTCATCATGATGGCCATCCGGCAAAGTCCCGAGAGGAGACTGACCCTTAACGGCATCTACGAGTTCATCATGAAAAACTTCCCGTATTACAGGGAGAACAAGCAGGGTTGGCAGAATTCCATCCGGCACAACCTCAGCCTCAACAAGTGTTTCGTGAAGGTGCCTCGTCACTACGACGACCCGGGCAAAGGCAACTACTGGATGCTGGATCCTTCCAGCGACGACGTCTTCATTGGTGGCACTACGGGAAAGCTGAGGAGACGGTCCACGGCAGCGTCCAGAAGTCGTCTTGCTGTGCTGAAGAGAGCAGGACCCCCTGGCTCTCTGGTTCAGCCTCCATTCTGTTGGCCCCTCGCCCACTACGCGTCTTCAGCCGCGTCGCCACTCTTCAGCTACCCTTCGTTCCAGCACGCTCTTGGAGTGTCCAAGCTGCCGCACTCCACTGGTTTCAGCATGGACAGGCTCCTAGCAGCTCCTGGACTCTACCAGCAGACTCCCTCGTGCTGTGGTTACTTGCTGGGCCCGCAGCCGGCGAGTCTGTTTGGACTTCGTTCCTTGGCAGCGTTCGGAGCAGCTGCTGCGGCAGCGGCTGCCGCGTCGTCTCATGTGGGACTCATGGCGGCCGCGAGTTCGTCGTCTGCGTCTTCACCAGGCATCCTCCATGACGCGAGGGAACGGTCCCCTCCAGCCCCCATCTACAAGCCCATTCCCATACTGTCCAAGCACAGTTAGTGTTTCTTTTTCTTGTAAAGAGGGTGATGCCTTTTTTTTTAATTAAACCAGAAACTCGTTGTGCTTCACGGAGCTCAACTGGCCCTTCTAGTCGTTACAATGTGCAAGTGTGCCAAGGGAAGTGTCGCAACGCTGATGAACCCAACGAACTTTACGAGTGCATATGAGGACCATATGTGTAAGTTTGTGGACAGAAAATCAAAACTGAGGTGTACGACAACCAGGACTTAATGCTACACGTCGTGAGAATGACCAAAGAGATGGCTGACGCACGACCCTTTGCTAGGTATTTGTGCGAGGTTGACTATACGGTGACTCTAACAGTGCACCGTGGCCAGCGGCAAACTTGAACTCTCATCGACACCGTCGATGACGTCGAGATGTGTGCACCATTCATCTGGACAGGAGCTGCATACCAAAGACACGACGGTCCGGTGCCCGTACGACTGTTCCGACTGTACAGTTTACTGGATTTTTTTTATTAAGTAAAACTATGAAAGTTGTTCGGAGATCTGTGTTTTCGAGTTCATTTATGTTTGAGGCTTAACCGAGTATTCAGTTTGATATTAACAGGGTCGTCTGTCTCTTCTGACTTGCAATACACTAATCTAATTTCGTAGTTCTAGTTTTAATCAATTCTCTGTCGCCAGTTATACGTTTTCCTTCTATGTATATATATAGTACTTGCCATTTTCTTCCTGTCTCGTTCTTTTACGGGACAAACAATAGGTTTTCTGCAGAGCAGAAGAGTCGTTTTATTATGATATACTCGTAGACCAAGACAGAGGCTGACTGTGAGACACCTTACTTTGGAAGGGTGCAGCTTTGACTGTATAGCAACATATCTGTCTCTACCTTCCAATCTCTATCGCAACTCTACAGGTGTCATAAACCTCTGCCACAATAGCCAGGATATGAATACAGTCTTTTATTCTCGTGCCTGTTAAGTCGCAGCCTCACACTGCTCCTGCATCATACAAAAGAGTTTGCAGACACGGCCTGAGTGAAGTGTTTCTTCTTTCTATCAAGGTCGCATTGGTCATACAGAAACGGTCTCCAGACATGTTAAAGGTTGACCTGCAAAATATTTTTCAACCAGGATGAAAATCCTCCTAGCCACCCTTCGCATTTCCCCCTCTCCCACAGCACAAGTTAGACGAGAACAAAATTTGCTTGTCTGACGCTTTCTTTCCGATCTAAAAATTCAAGCCGCGGATCATTCAACTTCTTCCAAACGCCGAATACGTATGCTTCGAACACACCTAAAGTCATTTAAATATAGGAGTCAGAAATACAACCCAATTAGGGTGCGAGTACATCAGTCGCTGTACTTCGGAAGCCTCCACATTCGGAGCCATAACATCGTGCACGCGCATGCACACACGCACACAGGCATACACGTACACACACACACACGCGCACACACACACACGCACACACACACACACACACACACACACACACACACACGCACACACACACACACACACACACACACACACACATATATACATACTTGGGTAGTAATTCAATTACAGTAATTAAATTACTGTAATTTAATTACTTTTCCTAGTAATTTGTAATTGTAATAATTACTTTTGGCTAAAAGGAATTGTAATTGTAATTTAATTACTTTCTAGCATCAGTAATTGCTAAATTTCAGGCACAATTACAATTACTTTTGCAAGATTTTGCGGCGGTGGCGCTTTTCCCCCATGGCCACGGCGACGAGAGCACAACCGAAGCAATAAAGGGAGAGAGTCTCCCAACCTGCTCAAAAAAAGGGAAAAGAGGGATGGGATAGAACGGAATGAAGGATTTTGTAGACTGCAAAACGATTTAATGAAGAATTTGAGAAATAATTTGATAAATGAGGGCTTCATTCGCGTCCGTTTTCGTTCCTGTCGTAGCTGAATCTGACTCTTCGTCTCGTTCGCTTCCTGTTGCTCTTGTTTCTAGGGGTCTTTCTTATTTCTCATTCCCACACGGGGGCATGGGGGTCGAAGTCGAGCTGGTTGGCTCCAATCACATCATCCGGTCGAGGCGAGAAGGTTCGAGGTTTTCCTTACGCGTCTTCGCCGCTAGCGTATTCGCTTACATATTTCAGTCAAGTTTGGGGACTTTTTTGTTCATGAAATTATTCTCTTTTCTTTATGAGTTTTTCAACTCTTTCTCCTCTATCTCGTATGTTTTTACCACTAACAGAGGGTCGTGCTACTCTAACATCGAGGCGAAAAAGCGCAGTTTGGCAACAACAGTTGGAAGTAAGGCAGGGTGAGTCGTGTTAATGAGACCTGCTGCTTCTTTGCTTCTTCGCCTGACATGACGATCCTAAATTTATTATATATCTCAGGAGCTTTTTTTTGGGTGTTACCGTGCACTGAATTAACCCAGAATCCCTGGCAAGAGAGTTGCTGCTATTGTGACACTAGTTTTGTGGAAGCGACCGCAGATCGCGTGCTACGGTTACCCACATCCGACATGTTACAAGTCCACAGACAGGGAGAGGCAGCGAATCATCGAGTTTTATGATACCAGTACTGTCGCATATTTGTTTCCTTGTATTATTTTTAAGTTTATTTTTTGTTGGTTTGACTTGGATACCATTTGCACAAGCTCTAAAGAGATTCACCTCGCACCTGTGAATTTTGTCGCCCTTTATTTTTATTTTTTGAGAATATAAGAAATCAGGAGTTCATTACTCCAAACTATTAAGTTCTATAATCCATTTAACAAATTTCATAAAAGGAAAGTACAATGCGTGACATTTATACAGCGGCCATATAACTCGTTTACAGTTATATGGCCCAAGGTGGGTAACTCTCTAAAATAAGTAATTTTAAAGTAATTGCATTACTTTTAAAAAGTAATTTGTAATTGCAATGAACTACTTTCGCGTAGTAGTAATTGTAATTGTAGTTAAACTACTTTGGTAGCTAAGTAATTGTAATTGTAATTAAATTACATTTTGAAAGTAATTTACCCATGTATGCACATATATATATATATATTTATGTGTGTGGGGATATTGGTCCAAACAAATGCCGGCGCTCGTCGAAATTGATTCACATGTACTGTCAGCAACAGTCTTCCGAGCAGTTGCTTGTAGCCATTGCAGTTCTTACAAAAACTGCAAAATCAAGTCTCAAACGCACAAAAAAAAAAAAAACCGGAAGGAAAAAAAGGAGCTTCTGGAGACGCGAGTTTAGGGACGTATATTAGAGTATTAATTTTGTATTGTTTTTTTATCACGCCTCCGGGTGAAAATTTCGAAAATGTTAAAAGTAAACAAGATAAAACTAAAATGGGGCGCCATCCTTTTTTTTTTTTTTTTTAGTACATCGCGAGGTAAAGCTATGCTTTAGTTCTCGGCGTAAATACTTGCACGCGTTCCAGCCCGCCATTGTCCGTTAACTGCGCCAAGAGGGTTCCAGTACAAAGGAGAGTTCCGTGGCCCTCTCGCCTATGTTCATTTAGGAAGCTTCAACGAAACCGCCTACGACAGCAGCACTGGCTTTTTGTTCTGCTCCGAGCTTACAAACTGGCGTAAAAAAAAAAAATAATGAAAGACGCCAGCTATACTATGAGGGCCTCTTTTTTGTTTCTCCCTTTGCTTCATATTTATTTGCTTTGAACGTAAACCGAGTGGTCAGACTTCCTACAAGGGACTCTGAGTACCCAGACGGTTGATCACCCAATGTTGTTATCATACTGGTGGCCGAACACTCTTTACTCGCAACTCCAACCCGCCGCTCGCCCTCTCGCGGACGGACGAAGAACCACAGAAGCGGGGACGGCGGCGGAGACGGTGGGGTTCGTGGGGACTATTGGCCTTGGTGCTGTACCGCTGTTGTTACCCCCATGGTGCTGGTGGGCGTGTTTTTGCACTCGCTTTTTTCTTAAAACTGTTAACTGAATAGGCAGTTTTAACGAAAACAGCGAGTGCGTTAAAATAGAAATTGTTGTGTTCCGCTTAACACACCCGAACATCTCCGTCACCTGTGATATGTTCATTTCCCGACTGTTTCGTATGTGTAGTCAATTGAATTCATTTTAGCACATTGACCACTCTCAGCGAGCAGGCGCACGGGAAATCCTGGAGAATTTATCTTATATATATAGTCTCTTTCCTTATCCTGGTACTATTGCCAAGCCACCTGTATGGCGTTTCAATTGTGAATAGACCACTATCCCTCTTATGTTGGAAATTAGTCACGGTCACCGATGGAAAGACGTGAAAACGTATTTATAACAGACAGAACGCATATCGCCTCGGAATACATTCGTTGCGTTGAGCCGCGTGTAAAGTTCTAATCGTAATGGGTCATGTTAAACTGTATCTAATGTTAAAGGAGCCAAATGCAACTCGGAGCGCAAGTTCGTCTGCTTCTTTTGTAGGGGTTGTGGTAACGTCAGAACGCCAAGTTCTGATTGGCTCTGACTGAAGGATAGTGTGTAGACCTCAGTGCAACTTGCTTTGAGGTCTACCCACTATCCTTCAATCAGAGCCAATCAGAGTTTGGCGTTCTGACGTTACAACAACCCCCGCAAAAGAAGCAGACGAACTAGTGCTCCGCATACACAAATGATGCGCACTAGCACTCGTCAATTCCATTGACTCGCGCTCGTTGGAACGATTGGAACGTATCACCATGTAGAAACAAAAACGTGGCACACCGCTGCTTTGTATACCAAATACTGTATCATACCACTTGGATACACTACAGGCACCGACAGCTTCATAAACGCAGGGCGGAAAATCTCATTGCCAAGCCACAGCCAATCAGATTGCGGCGTTAACGGATAAGAAGTCACAAGAACCAATCACGAAGCAGGAACATAATAAGGCACACGCCCTGGGTTTCTTAAGCTGTCGGTGACATTCTATCCAGCGCTTATCACCCGGGTAAAAAGCGCAGAGTCAGTGGGCTGTTGGCGCGGATGAGAGGCGTCTGATGGACCGCCACTGCGCATGCTCAGAACACGTTCCACGGTCCACTAGACAAAGATTCAGCGCGCGGAAGGCGATGACTGGAATGGTCTATATGGCAGCAACGAACTTAGTAATGGCCGCCACTGAATAGTTACGAAAATAAAAAGCGCGAAAGACAAGGACAAGATGGGGACTACACAGGACCGAAGAGGCCTGTTTGTCTTGGCCAGGGGACGCTGTAGCGTCCCCGAGACCCGACCCACAGAAGAGACGCCTCCGCAAGCATCCCACAACAAGACGCGACCTTTCAATGCTGACGTGAAGCGGAGTTCATATATGCGCCGAGAAACTGAGGGAGGCCGTGGAGACGAGAACGCGCATGGACGTCAGAATGCCGAGCTCTGCTTAGAGGGAATAGGGGGTAGACCTCAAGCTAGCTGCCTATGTCTCCGCTGCACTCACCGAACGCGTTTGAATGCGAGAGCCAAACGCCGGACGCCTGCGTTCCGCGTTTGAACGCGTTCGGCGAGTGCAGTGGGGACAAGGGCTGCTATAGCCGTAGGCCTACCCACTATT